ACAGAACTGCTTGTGGTTTCAACAAACCCATCACTTTCACAAAAATTTCACCATCCAGTTAGGCTTATCAATCATAACTCCTTCAAAAACAGCTAGAAACCTTGGAGTTGTGATTGATGATAAGCTGAATTTCTCAGACCACATTGTTAAAACCGACCCGTTCCTGCAGATTTGCTTTATACAACATTAGGAAGATCAGGCCCTTTCTTTCAGAACATACAACACAACTCCTTGTTCAAGCTCTTGTTCTATCCAGGCTGGACTATTGCAATGCTCTCTTGGCGGGTCTTCCAGCCACTTCTATCAAACCTCTACAATTAATCCAAAATGCCGCTGCAAGATTAATCTTTAATGAGCCGAAAAGAACGCATGTCACACCTCTGTTCATTAATTTGCACTGGCTACCAGTAGCTGCTCGCATTAAATTCACATTTATGTTTGCTTACAAAACCACCACTGGCTCTGCACCCATTTACCTAAATTCATTACTTCAGAGTTATGTGCCCTCTAGTAGCTTACGTTCTGCAAGTGAAAGGCGTATTATTGTGCCATCTAAAAGAGGCACAAAATCACTTTCACTGACTTTTTCATTAACTGTTCCCTCCTGGTGGAATGACCTGCCCAAATCAATCCGAGCAGCTGAGTCTTTAGCCATCTTCTAGAAACGACTAAAAACACATCTGTTCCACCTTTATTTGACCCTCTAACTCTAGCACTTTCTATTCTATTTTAATTCTACTTTATCTACATTTATCTTCTTTTTTTTATTAAAAATTTTTTTTTTTCATATTTTTCTATTCTATTTTTTCTTTTCTATCTACTTGTTTTTCTTTGTGTGTGTGTGTGTGTGTGTGTATGTGTATATGTGTGTGTGTTTATGTGTGTGTATAATATATACTGTATATATATACACCTTGCTACATGTACTGCGTTAGGCTAACCGAGACTTCTCATTTGCGCTTATATATTGTTGCTCTTTTGTTAGTTTTGACTGCTTTTATTGATAAAAGCGTCTGCTAAATGACTAAATGTAAATGTAAAATATAAAAACTATAGATAAATATTGAGCCTGCCATTTTTTAGATAAATCAGTCAATAAAGAAGTTATTCATTATTTTTATTAATCATTTACCCTTGTTTCCTCTTCAAAATTATGTCTGCAAAAGTAGGTTAGAAATCACTCAAACAGCATGCTCATACTTTTCTGATAACTAAGATACTTGCACACCTGTGTTCATTATGATTATGAAAGGCTTGATAAATGATGCAAACATATACACACTTACACACACACCAAGCTTCTGTTGGTCCTTTGTTATATGATAGTGTGTAGTTAAATCTGACATGCACAGACGATGAATATACATATGGCTAATTATAACACTAGCATGTGCGTGTGCGTGTGTGGCATTGTACAGAAGAACAATAGCTCTCTCCCCAGCATCCCTCACTCCACTACGGCTACTAATTAAGGGCCTGATGGTGTCTTGAGCCCCGCATTAATCTGGCTTACCACCCATCCTGACACTCTATCAATATTCTAACACTGTCTTCATCTCTTGTGTGAATTAGATTCAAGAAAGAAAGTTAAAAGTGCTTGAAATAATATGCTAGGCATGTGATGGTTTAAAATCTTCATGTTGCGATAATTGCTGAAGCTTTTATCGTGGTATATTATCACGATATTGAAATAAGTTGCAAAAAAAAGTGTTGTTATACTATTACAGGTATAATAATTTTTTTTCTTATAAAAAAAAGAACTAAACATTTTTGTGCATCGCTTTATTGTATATAAATGTTCAAAGTAAACAAATATTTCAAACAGTTTAAAGTGCAAAAGAATTATAAAGTGCAGTAGGTTTACAATAAGGTCTAATGCATTAACTAACATTATCAATGAGAAATAGCTACATTTGTTACAGAGGTTATCTGTTAATGTTACAGAAGAATGTTAACGTTAGTTTAAAAAATACAACTTGTTAGTATTCTTAAAATGCATTCTAAAAATCTGAAAAATAAATAATTATTTACAGTGTTTTGAAGTGACCACGATAACAATATCATGCATGTTCATTATTGTGTTATATCATATTACTGTATATTGGCACAATATATACACAAATACTTAATATTCAAGAATGATTTCTGAAGGATCAAGTGACACTGAAGACTGGAGTAATGATGCTGAAAATTCATGCATCACAGGAATAAATTACATTTAAATTCAAATGTGTTACTTTAAACTTTAATAATATTTCACAATATTATTTTTACTGTATTTTTCATCAAATAAATGCAGCCCGGGTGTGCATAAAAGACGTCTTTCAAAAACATTTTTAAAAATCCTAATAAGTAGTCTAAATCCCTTATGCTCTCTTTCCTTAGTGGGCTGTTCTGTGAGACACCTCCACCAATGATATTACTCCAGAAGACGAGTCCATGTGATCAGTCTTACTGTCAGAATGGAGCGCAGTGTCTGGTCGTGGAGGGAGAGCCTGTGTGCCGGTGTCCACCTGGCTCCAAGTGTCATAAGATGGTCACAGTGCACTTCCTCGGCAAAGATACCTATCTGGAGCTCTCAGGCGCCAAGATCCGACCACCCATGCACATATCCCTCCAGGTATGCCTGTAACCGCTTCCTGTAATGCTTAACAAAGGGTCCTAGATCAGTTTCTGTAATATAGACTTCACATATCACTAGCCTCAGGACAGTCTGCGTATCACCCGAACTCACATCTGCAGCCATGAGAAGCGATCTGCCTCTCTGTCTAGGTGTTTTTTCATCAGCAGTGCATGGTCTAAGCCAGCTTTGGCCTCTCTGACATTATGAGAATGTCACCTCTCGTCCACCTGCGTGAATAATTCTTCTCCTGAGGACATATATCATGGTAATAGAGATTGAGCCGACTGTTATCCGTTGCAATCAGGGGCCCTGTGTAACAGCTAGATCTGCTACAAATGATCCTATCTTCTCACCGTCGAGAGGGCACACTAATGTTAATTAAAGTAGGAGAAATTAAAAAGAGCTCAGTAGCTGTTTATCTCCTTGCGGACGTCAGCATCTCTCCATTTCGGCTTCTCTTAGCACATCTGCAGATCGAGAGGCCTTTGTGTGTTAAGTAATGGTGCTTTCTAAACCAAGTGAGAATTTTTGCAAGAAGAAAACATGGACATTGAGGTTTTAAAATGAAACCGTGCATCTCTATGATCAGTGAAGTTCAAACTGCAGTGTTACATGCTTGTTTATTCAAAAACTGGATATTTATTTTTTTCATTCTTCAGATGTCTAAAATTCACAGGCCTTCCAGATAAGTGATGTCAAATTTCAGGAATTTTTCTAGATGTTTTCAAATAAATACATTAATTAATTTACATTAATGCTGCAAAATGTGTGAAAGGATCCAAATACCATGTCCATAAAGTCTACTCTTTTTAGCATTAAAAATAATCTTAAAAATGTTAAATTAGTACAGATGTAAGTTTTTGTCCAGTAAAATGTAATTGTTAAATATTTTAGACACTTACTTTTTACATTAAGTCAAATTTAAGAGAATGATATTTCATCATTGCACTTCACGTGAAATAGTTCTGAATATTTTACAGCTTTCGCTCTGTTCGTGTTAACAGGCCCTAAAAGGCAAAACGCTTGGGAACTGTAAATATAGAAAAGCAATCAAATTAGGTTGCTTTTTTTATTTCCAGCGTTCTTAGCAAAACTGTGCTAAACAGCGTTAATGACTTGGTCCTCCTGTGACGTATCCACTGACATAAACGGAATACAGGGACACATTAACTGCTCACATGCCTCCAGGATATGGATGTTAGCAGTCCTCTTGGTCTCAACTGATGTGTAGAGAGGTTTCCATGCTCCATAAGCCATCAACTGCTCTTTTCTCTTCTCTCGTCCTAGTGCTTATATATAAATGTGAGCTGTTTTCCATCACAGCTTCCTCGCAGACGTTCCGTTTGATGCCCTTGACTAAACAGGGAGTTAAGTGTCAGGCCTGCGGTGGTTCTGTCTCGGTGTGCATGTCGTATTGAAATAGTGTGCTTATCGCGCACTCTTGATTGTTTTGTACATCGTTTTACCCTTCCACCTCAATCCTCAGTATTTCTGCCATTCTCCTTCACTGATCTTTTGCTGTTTCTTTCCCATTACCCTCCTCTCTGTCTTTGTAGGTAGCCACAGATAAGGACAATGGCATTCTGTTTTATAAGGAGGACCATGACCCACTTGCCCTAGAGCTGTACCAGGGACACATACGTTTGATCTATGATGTTGCCAAGTACCCCCCAACCACAGTGTACAGGTGAGGATAGAGAGCATACACACACATACTCTGTAGGTAGTATTTTAAGGAAACATACACTCTCATAAAAAAATTTGCAAAAATTTTACCTTTAGAAGCACAACACCTGTAGGGGCAGTACCCTCAAAGGGGCATATTTGCACTAAGGGTGTGCAATTTTGAGGATTTTTTCGATAATGATAATTAAACAATATTTTGCTTAGTGTGTTTTTATGCTGTTACCTTGGCTGGTTTAGGCCTGTCGTGGATAAATAAATCCGTCAGTAGCTGTGATTCAGTGATTCATTGAATCATTCCTTCAAACGATTAATTCAAAACGGCTGATTCATTTAAAAAGAAGCAGTTGGTTGTCTGGTGTTCAAAACCAGATTCTTTCAGGAACAAAACACCACAGTGTTTCTTTGAGACATGCAAATGTTTAGCTTAACTCTGTTTGAAACTATTTTAATTGGCAAAACAGAAAAAAAAATGACAATATTGTGTCTAAAATGTAACTCACTCAATATTAACTGTTGTAAAAAATTTATATCACACTCATGATCACCCTCGTACACTAATATTCCAGAAAACAGCACTCTTGCTTGTGTGATATTACTTAAACATATCTAATAAATATAAAAAAACAAAACCCCATACTGAGATATTTTTTGCTTTCATAACGTGAATTATAGAGGCATTTTAACTGCATTCTAATACACAGTGAATGCTTTTGGACTTTTTTTGCATGTACTCATACATACTCTATAATGTCAGCTTGCATATTGTTTAAACAACAATTACGATATTATCACCGATGATAAATATTGCATACCCCTACTTTGTGCCTTACTTACCCCTAAAAAGTTCATAGTAGTGCTTTAGGTAATACTCTAAGGTACTAATATGCACCTTTTAGGGGTAGGTAAGAGTTGTCCCTTTAAGGGTACTGCCCCAGTGACAAGTTGTTGTATAGGGTAATTAAAAGATGGGCTTTTAATAAAACTTGGCTGTCTATCAGTAGAAAGGCAATTTTTTAATCAATGCTTCATGAGCAAACAGAGAAAAGGGGCTGTGGTGTTGCCTTTTGCCAAAAAGGTAGGAAAATGCCCATAATGCACTGGGCTCGATCCAACTGTCCATGAGTGGGAATTTAAAAATGCAGAAGTAGAATCTGTTTTCACAAAAGCTCTGGAGCTTTCAGATTTTTTACATCATATTTAACGCCAGTCAATTGCCTTTTGTTTACAAATAACTGTAAACAATATATCTCAATGCAGATAACACGGAATAAGAGTACACATTGTTAATTTACGTATATACCAAAATTGTAACAATACAAAGGTAAGGTACTTCTTTTTGAAAATCCTAAACAGCATTGTATGTATCCTCAGCAGAAAATGCAATCCCAGAATGCAGTATTCCAATATGTATGGATAAAAATAGTTTAATATACTTTTAAAATTGTCATTGAACCTATATTTGTTTATGCTATGCATATTTATGTTTAATAGAGGATTGCATTGTTATCTTAGCAACATGTTAACACCAGAATCAGTCGCAGGTCTCCAGAGCATCTCACATGAGGAATGTTATTTGTGGCTGCCTGTGTAGAACATTCCAAATTAGCCGCTTAAGAGGTTCGATTTTAGTTACGATGCTCTCTTAGAAGCCAGCTGCCTCTTTAGCTCACTAGGTTTTGTAACAGACCCACAAACACAAGCACACTTCTGTTCTACACAGTAAACAAACCCATACAGCAAGTTTCTGCTGCACCATAATCTAAATAGACATATACCACCCTAAATTATTTCAAAACATCAAACATACACACTCATTCATCTTCCATAAAAAAAGACTGCGTTTCAAAGGAGGCCCCCTGCTCTCGTCCAGAATAATTTGGGGTGAAAAAGGCGTGTTTGCGGGCACGTTTTCTCTCCGTTCTCAGGGAGGTTCAATCCCTGTAAGCTCGTGGCACATCATAAAACCATATAGGAGCCCGGATTTACATGACCTGCTTGAATCTGCCTCAGGCGAGAGCTTGCTTCTCTCGCCCGGTTCCCATGTGAAAGCTTCTGTGCTGCAGCGCCATGATTTCTATGCTCACTGGAGCCCCCATAAACAGAGCTCTTAGCCCTCACCTCCTGCCCTATCAGCAGACAACAGGCTTGTTGAGTCTGGCGCAGATGGTGCCTGACTCCGGCCTGGTGGGTCATTGTAGATGTCATTAAGCTAGCACAGGCTCTGTAACGTGTTTCAAGAGCCCAGATTCAAACTTTTAAATCCAGTCTGCACACAAACTTAATGACAGCGTACAGTTTCAAAGCATTTCTAGATAGAAATCTGTGTCCTTGTCTAGCTGTGTCTGTTAAGAATGGGTATGTGGACACGGCATCTTTTTCATCTACATCTGCAGAAGTAGAGCGTGAACGTTTGTGACCGGCAGCTGTTTTAGCAGGCAGTAGACGTGAACAGTGGTGAGCTGGGTGCTCAGGCCCTGCCTGCCTGCTTGTTGACTTTGTATTGATTCAGTGCCTCCCGTTGCTGCTGCAGGGGGCCACTTTTCCCTTCCGCCTGCAGCAAGGGCTGAATCGATTGCTCTATGAGGGAGTCTCAGCATGAAAAATAACATTTCAACCAGATTCCTTGTCTTTGCGGACTGAGAATACATGCACTTAATTCAGGTGTTTCTAGTATTAGTTGCAAACATGCATTTAAAGCACGTGCTCAGTTTTTCAGGATAAGATAGAAGGAATAGACTGTTGTTTCAAGGCAAGATGGTTTACTTGGCAGTCATCTTGGAATACCCCTGGCAGCTATTTTCTATGTAGGCAAACGAGATACAAGTACAGCTTCGATATACTTGAATGGGGAAAGACCAAAATATCCGATGGCATCAGGCTGGTCCAGGCAGAATGAGCACTATCTATGAGCACCACAGCTTAATGTGATATAGCACATATATGTTAGGGCTCAGCTGTGTGCTTGAACAGTTAAATTAGCATGCAGTGGTGTGACTGAATGAAGTCAAGTTTGTTGCCAGGTCAAGTCCAAGATGCATCATGGCACCCACAGTTAATCATAGATCCATGCTCATCCTCATCTTGTTTTTTCCCCAAGCGACATTGTGCTGTGTGGCTTTGGCATATCTGCACCCCATTGTCTTGGGGTAAAGAATGAGGGTCACATGTGAAGAGAGGAAGTGCAAGGAGAGAAAATGTCCTTCCATCTCAATTTAGCTTATTTGGACATGGCACAACCCAGTCTGGCAAACATGCTCCCGAGTTCTCCATGTCATAGTTAGTCCTAACAATGTGTAACCAGAGCCAAGAGAGCCAGCTGCTCAATTTGCAACCCATCATACGCCGCAATGCTTGGACATGAGTGCAGCGTTCGGGCAGCTCCCTTGCTTTGGTTTTCCCACCATGGAAGCTAGAGGTTTGAGGCTGTGGTTGGAGCATTCCTGAGCTGAGTCTGGTTCAGTGGCTCTCTGCGGGTGCTTGACTTCAAATGTGGAACTGGGTCATAAAGACTCTGTGGGGCGAAGATCAGAGGAGGAAACTTGCAAAATTCCCACACCATCTACAGATTCCACTCAGCTCTTCTTACACCTTGTCCCTGCTGAACGTCAGCAAGAGACGAGATCCCTGACAGGAAAGACAAGGAATGATGATGAAGAAATTTGAAATGGTGAGAGGGAAAGGGAGGCTCTGGGCGGCGGGAAAGAAGACAGATCGGACCCCAGAGAGATGAAGAGTGCCAGAGAGCCGACGAAGAGTAAAGGACACTTATCTCTGTAATGTGATCCTGCCTTGACCGAAGGTGCGGGTGAGGGGAGGGATGGAGAGACTGATATATGCACTGGGGAGGTGGAGAGCGACGGAGGCTGTTAACTAGCAGTAATGCCTCATTACCATGAGATGAATGCTTGGGCCCATGCAGCGTGTTAATGCGCTGCCCTTTACTAAATGTCACGCTAATCTGTGTATTAGTTTAAGCAGCGGTGTGGGCAGTTCCTCAGCAGAAGCGGCGGTTTGTGGAAACATTGCAGGAAATTGAATGAGAATGTTAGAATTGCAGCGTTCCCTGCCCCCAGCTCCTCAGCGTGGGCTCGCCATCCTGCGCCACGCCTTACCACAGCTCTCCAAATGTAGCTAATGTTTGGCATGTCAACTGGGTTTAACACTGAGCAATGTTAGGGTGAACAAGGAGGGTCAGGGTATGTTTTTACGGCCTGTTTTCGTTTCGCCCGAGATTAGCACTAAGTTCCTGTGTGAGCAGAATGTTTGAATGGGGGGAAAGTAGTGGTAATTCAGTCTGAACCGTGACTGAACCTGGAGTAAGTTCCTCGGGTTGGAGAAGACCAAATGGATGTGGTGTTCTAAGACCAGCTTGGCTAAGTGCGACAGCACTAATGCTAGGGTGACCATACGTGCCATTTTCCCAGGACGTGTCCTGGCCAGGATTTCTATATTGCCTAAAATATCTAGGTTTTGGCTTTGTTTACGTGTGCAGACCGATCGGTGTATGACATCACAATACCTCGAGAGCATTTTGAAAGTATAAGGAACCGTCTGTATGGTATTTTGATGTCATACACCTATCGGTCTGCACACGCAAACAAAGCCAAAACCTAGATATTTTAGGCAATATAGAAATCCTGGCCAGGACGCGTCCTGGAAAAATGGTATGTATGTTCACCCTAACTAATGCAAGGCTAAGGGGTGCTAATGCTAACTGTCCACTAACAAAGTTTTAGTGTTCTTACGTTTACCTAGCTATAGCATTAGCATACATCATTATTTACATTTGCACATTTGGCATTTACACTTTTATCCGAAGACTTATATTGGATTAATGTACACCGTTTATCAGTTCTTGCTTTCCTCAAGAATCAAACACATAACCTTAACTTTACTAGCACTGTGCTCTAATGTTTGTGCTTCAGGAAGGCTACATAATCTCATCCCAAGGATGAGACCTTGTTCCTTGCTACTTACAAGTGTTTTGATGTTAGCTGTTAACTCCAGTCCATCTGTAGAGCACAGCGCTATGATATCTCAAACGCTACAAAACCTTGTTTAGCAATTCATGTTCCAGAAGGGCATAATTGACTTCACAGCTGCAGTCCGTTACTCTTAGCTAGTGTAAAGAAATTGAATCTGGAAAATGTAAATGTGTCTACAGGTTTGCTGATCTAGATAACTCTCCAAGATGAAGGAGCCGGTAATAGTTCCTAACTTTGTGTAAGTGTCATTTATAATGCAGTTCGCTCGAGGAATAACAGAGTATTCTTATTTTACAGGAAATTGACTTCCCCTCGTGCGAGAGGGGTGACATGAGGTTGCTGAAATCTTCCACGGGTTTCTGTTTGTTTTTATTGAGCTCCATAATGGGCTGCTTGAAGCTAATATGCAGGCTAGGCGCACATCAAAGACACTCCACCTTCTCAACCCCCCATTCTAAAAATATTACAGCCTCAGGATATTTTCTGTCTGTCAGAATATGAACAAAAGGCCAGTAGTTGCAAGCGCTAGGCTACATCTTGAAGAGTTGATCTCTGGTGCCCCCTAGTTGTGCTATAGATTCACTGCATACATTCAAGAACATTTTGTCAGTTCCAAATGATGACTTCTGTCCCCCATGGTGATATTTATGTTCTGATTAAGAATGTTTTCATTCTCATAATAGAATATTCCTCTTTGTTCCATCACATTCCCACTCTCACCCCCTTTTCCACTAAATACTCTTCCCATTTCCTTCCCAGCCGGCATGTAGGCCCTCAGACGGACTTAATGAAAGACGGCTGTCAAAACCAGAGACAGTGGATTAAAATGTCCTTATATTATAATGAAGCCGTTCATCTATGGTGGTACTGATGTATCAAATGGATGGGCTTGAGATGTTTGGGGGGGTCTCAGCCCGTGGACTGTAGTATTTGTTGCAAAAGCCTATTTTGAAACAGGAATTGAATTATGGGCCTGTAATGCAAACCACACGTGCGCCTGTGTTGGGTCTTTGTTCAGTCAAGACCTCCGTGAACCGTACCCCCCTATATCTGGGGACACTGATCTCTATCCGCACCTATGGCCTCAGCATTTCAGCAATGGAAAATAGCATTGCGAGCCAGCACAAATACTAGCAGCCTGCCCACAAAAATGAATTAATTTTAATACTAGCCTGCTTGTTTGCTTAATGTATTTGCTGGCAAGGCTCTGTTGTTGTTGTTTTGTTTGTTTGTTTGTTTTTGTTTAGTACATGTGATTAGTAATTTTATATATATATATATATATATATATATATATACACATTTTTTATATATATATATATATATATATATATATAACCCCTAAGTTATAAGAAATGTTTCTTAAAGGTTTTTTTGTTACACTGAAGACTGGAGTAATGATGCTGAAAATTAAGCTTTGCATCACAGGAATAAATTACATTTTAAAATCTATTCAAAGTTATTTGACATTGTAAAAATATTTTACTAAATGTACTGTATTTTGATCAGATAAATGCAGTCTTAATGATCAAAAGAGACTCCTTTCATTAAACAAAACATTAAACATATCTTACGACCCCAAGCTTGATTTTTATATTTCATATTTAATCTCAAGTGTGCTCTTGACTGACACAGCCTCCTTGGAAAAAATAATTAAACATGCATGCATAAATAAATAAATAAATTTCACATAGTACATATTGAAATGGTTTATTTAAAACTTAGTTCAGATAATTATAATTATAAAATACAGCAAATGTATATTTTTTTATCTTCTGCTTTCTTGCAGTGTGGAGTCAGTGAATGATGGTCTTTTCCACACGGTGGAGGTGTTGATCCAGAATCAGACCCTAAGTTTGGTGGTGGATAAAGGGGCACCGAAAAGCTTGGGCAAACTCCCCCGCCCTCCTGCTGTGGACCACAACACACAGCTCTACATAGGCGGTAAGAGTCAAAAACACCTCATTGTTCATCACAACCATATTTCAAAGGTTTCAAAGTATTAAACATGGCTTGTTTTAACATGCTTTCAAAGTGTTTGAATGCATAATGACTGTAACGTTAGCCTTAGCAGTCCACGTGTGCTAATATTTGCCTGTTTTTCGTATTTTAGGTGTGCCCTCTCTGATTGACACAGCAGGCCTGCGACCGGGTCCAGACCGTCCACTCCAGTCCTTTAATGGCTGTATTCATGACGTACGGCTCAACGGGGAACTCCAAGACCTCGGCAGTGGAGTGGCAGGGGTAGAGGGCATTCTGCCGGGCTGTCACTCCTGCAGTGTTTGTGCTCACGGGGCCTGCAGACAGAGAGGAGAGGCAGGCGTGACCTGCGAGTGTCCCACCGGCCACAGCGGCCCACTGTGTGAAGAGACCACCTCCCAGAACCCCTGTCAGAACAGCAGGTACATAAACCTGCACGTACACAGACACTCACAGTTGTGCTTGTATCAGGTGGTAATCTCCTCCCTCTCTATTCCTGTGCAGGTGTGTGCATGGTGTGTGTGTGCTGAAGGGCTCCTCGTACAGCTGCTCATGTGCAGATGGATACTCTGGCCAGTTTTGTGACAGGCGGCAAGAGTCTGCCGTCTGCAAGGGGCTGCACTGCATACACGGAGAGTGCAGGGTGACGGAGAGCGGAGAGACGTTTTGCCACTGCCAGCCTGGATACAGTGGGCCGACCTGTGAAATAGGTGAGACACAGCCCTGCAGAAGCCTAATAATTACTCTTTAATTACATATAGAACATAAAAACTATATATATATATATATATATATATGTGTGTGAAGAGTTCATTTGCAAAAAACGATAAACACCACTTAAAAAAAAAATGCCATTCTGATTGCCATGCATTATTCTCCTCATATAACGCGATCTGAACCCTAAACACATTTTGTCAAAAAAGCTGGTTTTGTCCACTTTCAAGGCATCATGAGTTCAACGATAAACGCCACTTAAAAAAAAAATGCCATTCTGATTGCCATGCATCATTCTCCTCATATAACGCGATCTGAACCCTAAACACATTTTGTCAAAAAAGCTGGTTTTGTCCACTTTCAAGGCATCATGAGTTCATGTTTTACTGCAGAAGCCGACAAGCGAAAAAACATGCTAGCTGAGAGGAGTTTCGTCAAAGCTGACTAAAAGTGATCCAGGATGGGTCATTTCGACGAACTTGATGAACCTGCGATATCTTCTTCAGAGCGAAAAAGGAAAATAAAAGTTGAAACGTTTTCACAGAACATTGTAAAAGCCGCGTGTTACAATGGAGAGGGAAAAGCTCTGTGTATTGCGTGTAATCACATCCATACAGTTTATGATCACAACAACAACAACGTTTGTCAGGCATCTACACTGTCATCTGAGGAGATTACAAAGATTAAACCAGTGTTTTTTAAACTCTAAAACATGAAATGTAGAGTTATCTGCTTTTGCCAAAAAACGACTGTTGGAGTTATCTGCTTTTGCTATAAAACAAACTTTTAATATGTAAAAAAACATACTTTCAATGAACTTTCATGTGGTAAATTACCTGTATTTCTTTGATTTAGTTATTATTACTTAATCAAAACAACCCAACTGCAGTTTGATTGATGTTACTTGGAATGCGCAATTAAAAAAAACCTGATTTCTGAGAAAAATAAATAAAAAATGAGTTATCGTTTTTTGCAAATGAACTCTTCATATATATATATATGTTTCTGGTCTTATTGTGCACAATTCATCAGTGCACATTTTTCTTTGGGGAAAAAAAACCCTAAAATTTGCTAGCGAGGTTGCTTTTACCCCTTGCTGTACAAGATGATGATCCGCATTCAAATACTTGTTTTCATAATTATAAAATGTTTTCATAATCTTTTATCAAAAGTTAAATGGCTGGGGAAGAATAATACAATGACATCTCAATAGTATCTCAATAATATTTTGATACTGGTAATAATATCTAATTTCAATAGAGTGCAACAATAATAACCAGTCACGTTTTCAGCTCTCTTTCATTTTCTCCATAATATCTGATTTCAAAAAATAAAAACACTGTTGTATATTTATTCAAAAATAAATAAGCATCACATGTACAATACCATTCAAAATTATTTTTTAAAAATAAAGTATTACTTTTATTCCGCAAGAATTACGCAGACTTTTACATTGTTACGAAATAAATTTTATTCATAAAAAAAAAGTTATATTCATTAAAAAATCCTTAAAAACATGTATCAAATGTTTCACAAAAAACAATAAGTAGCACAACTGTTTTCAACATAATTAATGATAATAAGAAGAAATGTTTCTTGAGCAGAAAATATATTGCATATTAGAATGATTTCTGAAGGATCGTGTGACACTGAAGACTGGAGTAATGACGCTGAAAATTCAGCTTTGATCACAGGAATAAATTACATTTTCAAATTTTAAATTTTAAATTGTAATAACATTTCACAATATTACAGTATTATCAAAATATTATTATATTATTCATATTTACTGTATTCTGAGCAAATAAATTCAATCTTGGTAAGCATAAGAGACGACTTTGAATAACTAAATGTTGACAGTAGTTTACCTTTGATTAATAACCTCAGAGCTCATAGCAGATCTGTTATTAAAAATCAATTTCTTCGTGTCGAAAATGAATGCGACTGCTTCACGTTATTTCATGATCTAATCAAATCCTGATGAATAAAATTCCCTCATACTTTATTTCCTGCAAAATTATCTGTTTCCACTCAAAACTATGTTGCATTACAGCAGTTAAATGCATTGCATATGCTGTTTCATGTAGTCTTTAACTTGCCATATGGAATCCAGAAGAGTCAATATCTTATGTTTATTCATCTACAGTGGGTACGGAAAGTATTCAGACCCCCTTAAATTTTTCACTCTTTGTTATATTGCAGCCATTTGCTAAAATCATTTAAGTTAATTTTTTTTCCTCATTAATGTACACACAGCACCCCATATTGACAGAAAAACACAGAATTGTTGACATTTATGCAGATTTATTAAAAAAGAAAAACTGAAATAACACATGGTCCTAAGTATTCAGACCCTTTGCTCAGTATTTAGTAGAAACACCCTTTTGATCTAATACAGCCATGAGTCTTATTGGGAAAGATGCAACATACATAAATGCTATATCTGATGGCCTGTCCTCCGTACCCTCCTCCACACAGAGCCGACGTGCCAAGGAGAGATGGTCCGTGAGCTGCTCAAGCGTAATATGGGTCATAAAAACTGTACCTCCACCAATAAAATCGCTCGGTGTCCAAGCACCTGCCGCTCGAGCCTGTGCTGCGCTCCCACCAAGAGCCGGAGACGGAAGGTCAGCTTCAAGTGCTCCGACGGATCCTCCTTTTCTGAGGAGATGGAGACCACCGTGGAGTGCAGCTGCACAAAGTGCATATTGTAATATTAACAAACCTCCCAAACCTGGAGAAGAAGATGGAGCGGAAAAGAAAATATATTGTAAAATAAACAAAACACAAATAGAACTTATTTTTATTAAGGGATGTTTTTTTTAAAGAAAGAGACTGTTTTTATGATGTTGCTTATGTGTGTCATATGAAAAGTACACACACAGATTAACATTCCTGAAAATACATGAATTATATAAATATGTATAAATCTATATAAATGTACAACCTAACCTAAGAATTAATTTTTGGTCTGTGTATTGCATGTCTGTTGTGAAGTGTGTGAGCGGAGAGAAATTTTAATGGAGGAGCTGAAATGTGCCCGTGTAGCCGATCAGGCAAGGACTCTCTAACACAGGAAGTGGTGAGCCAACTTCCTGTGCTCTGGTGGCGGCAAATTAATGAACTGCTTCCTAACGGATCTCACCTGCAAGACTTCAAGGACAGAGCTTCGAGTGGGATGGGCTGATATTTTGTACTTTGGATGTTGTTTCTTTCGGCGTGGCTCTGGTTTACAAGCTGCAACTCATCGGAGGGAATTTTTTGCATGACTGCATGGAAGAGTTAAATGTGAACTTGTAACATGCTGCGGTCAGGCAGTAAAGCTATTGTAGTAACTATGATAGTTAAACGCTCTCTGCCTGTTTTACCCTGTACAGTTGAAATCCAAATGCGTCGGCAGGTGATGCAGGTGACCGCGTCTCTGGTGCAAAGCACTTCATACTGACGTAGTATTCCGTCATAACCGTCCTTTACTAAAATATTAAATGCAAATATATTTCACCCATTACTACTGTATTGTTTCATGTGTACCCTTTTTTGTTTTAAATTTTTCAGATGTAACACTCAGTGTCTTACTCGAATAGAGCGAGGACTGTAGATATATTCCCAAGAAAAAGCTAATCAGTGTTAATGAACATTCCTCCTCGTTCTGTCTCACCCCTGTTCGCCACATACTGTTGTATAAGGTACAAGCGGATGTAGGAATCACCAGTGAACGATGTAACTGAGCTTGTGCAGGAAGTGTCTTGTTAGCACCTCTAATCAGAAGACTGGTTGCATTTTCTAATGTTTTGTTAAATATGAATTAGAGAGTGATAATTAACTTACAGTGAATGTTGAATTAAACTTGTAATGAAATACACAGTTGGATTTGTGTGTGTAAGCTTATTTAATAAGGCCATTTTGTTTTTGTAAATTTGCCAAACATAATATTCAAATGCAACTCAAACCAGTATCCAGAACAGCAAAATCAAGAGACATGTTGTCAATCTTTGGTCTTTTAAAGGCCACAGTTCGTCATAATTGTTTGTTGGTCAAATTAAAGGTAATGTGTGTACTTTTTTCTGTTAAAATGACTTTTTCCCTGTTCTATGTCAGAGATTATGCTGGATTACTTCCTTTTAGAAGTAAATGTTGTGGCTCTTAAAATATTTCATTCAATTATATATTTCAGATCACCAATTATGAACAACAATTATGTGTATACTGTATATTTGTTCCTATATCCAGTGATAATATAAGAATTATATATTGTATTTATGGAGGCTCAATTCTGACCTGAAATCAGCCCAATGATAGAAAAATGATGTCATGAGTGTATTTAGGAGTTTTGTCCACTAGATGGAGGTAAACACCAGTCTGAATGTCTCTCGCAGGCATCAAGGGGGTCAGGGCCTGGATAGAGTTGATCATTTTGGTTAAGATTAGGAGGATTTCTCCTTCACTAATCAGGACACAAAGGAAAACTCTTACTACAGCCTTGCTCTTGACCCACAATAGGCAGCTTGTTCTGTAGGGCCGTTTTATTTCCAATTAGTCGGAGAACTCTGAGATTTTTTGTTGAATTTTGAAATGTTTTCCCCGTAGTGTGTAGACCACAGAACCCGTGTGACCTGTTGTCTTTGAATAACTGGATCCTGATTATTTTTCCCTTAAAGGTGCCCTCAGTAAGTTTTTGTTTTTGCACACTCTTCTTTGCCCCAGTTGTTCTTAATATATGATATGGATACATTAAGTTTCAGATCTCATATTACACATTATTATGCAACAGTTAGTAGCCTACCATTTCTTGAATCTGGTCTGAGCAGTCGTAAAATAGCCTACTCGTATTTCTGCAATTAAAGAAATGGCAGAAATAGTAAGAATACCATGGTATGCTATTCTCAATTCAGCTATACAGACCAAAAGCACTGGGTTCCAGAAAGACTCTCAGTCTGTGCTTTAGTGGAGGGGATTTTTCAAGATGGTCCTCACTGCAGAACACAAGATCCAGGGGGCATGGTTGGATCCAGATACAACTCCTCTCACCTTACATATATCTAAACCTACCCGTCTCCACCCCCTGAATCCTAAACCCACCCATATCCACCCCTAAACTTACCCATCTCCCAGAGCTCCACCCCTAAACCTACCAATCTCCACAACCTGATTCCTACACCCACCCATCTCCACCCCTAAACTTACCCATCTCCCAGAGCTCCACCCCTAAACCTACCAATCTCCATTTTGTTTTGTTTTTTGTTGTTGTTTTTTTTCTACAAATACCATGGTTAAACTATGGTTATTGTAGCAAAACGATGGTTAATTTGTGGTTACTATGGTTTAACTTTAGCATATTTTTTATTATTAGAGGACACATAGCCTACTGTAGGATGAATATAGAGATGCAGTTTTCACTGGTTTGGGATTAACAGAACTTCGGATAGTTTCCATGTACGTGTCTAGATCAACTCTGAATAAAGAAAAGAGAGGTTTAGAGTCAGATTTTTGTTTATGTATGTGAAATTTAGATAGCAGGAAACACAAATTATAGTTGAAGTTATATTTTCCTATATTGTCTTTCGAGTAGTCAAACAAAAGGCTACAAAGAAAACATCTTTAAAACAGAAAGAAAAGTCACTTACAAATTGAGATGAACATTAAAAAAAATCTGAACAAAATTTCTCTGTGTGGGTACATAATTTTAATAATTTTAATTTAAACAATTAAATGTCTGTTGTCTGCCGTTATGTCCCCACCAGTGCTAAAATCAAACAAACCCATGCGCATTCCAGAATCTTGCCGGAAATAATAAGTCAACAGGGAACGTTTTGTCTATTGTTTTATAAATACTGTGAAACATACTACTTCACAGGTATTTTTATATATATATTTTTTTTCTTCGTACTATATAGCACACAGATTTGGTCAAAAACTTGATATATTTAATAGAGCAACTTTATGTAGTTTTCTTTTGGCGCTTTGGAGCCCCCTACAGTTACGAGAGTGGAATTCACTGTCCTAAATATTCATTCCGTGGGTGACTGTACACTTGCATTTGTTGACAATCTAACTGCTTTCAAAAGCCAGGAAGAACAATGTCGACTGATAAGGTGAGATATAAAAACCACTGCAATAACAGGAATGACAGAAACCTTTACTTTAGCTGAAATACCGCTAATGTATGCATTTGTGTGCAAAGCTTTTGTACGTGAGCTTTTGTACGTGTAATGGCGACACGATTGACCACACTGCACATAATATACATTTGATAGACTATTACAAGCTAGAAACAGAATGCGCTTAATTGAAAGTCAGTGTACAATCAGAATGATTTTGATAAAAACTTATAAAAATGAATAAAACTGACGTTTTGGGGTTCAGTTCAAACATATTCATTTATACTGTGCTGCTTGTTTGGACTTTTTATTTTTCTGTTCATTATTATTCGATTATGCAACCTGCTTTTTATACGCCACTTGAAATGTGAGTAGGCTATAGCCTATTGTACATAATTGTAAAATTAATTTCTCAAATGTATCATTCATTTATTTATCTATAAAGCATTTTAATAATTAAATAAATTGAGTGCACCTTTAGAGACCCCATGATATGGTTTATTCGTATTGATTATTAATTTTTTTTAATAGTCAGTACCTATAGTTCTGTCCCTGGTAGCACACGTACATCACAGAGACGTCTATTTGACGTCTACATTTAAATCTGCAAGATGTATTTTTTAGAGTGTTTGCTCATCTGCATCTATAGGACGTTTCCTATCAGATGTCAAATAGACGTTTAGAAGACGTATTTAAGATGTTTATGATTTAGAATAGTTGTAAAACTGACATCTTAAAGACGTCTGTCAGATGTTTGTACACAGCAGATGCTTTCCAGATGAAGCCATCTTTAACAGTACGTGTGCTATCAATGTGGTATCCATTGCTCAAGTCTAAAAAGACAAACTGAGTGAATGCAAAATGAATAATCAGCCTAGTTTCCAAGCGGAGAAAGACTACATTTTAAATATGTATATCTGCGTAATGGGAATTTCGTCAACACAACACAAGCACACTAGCATATAGACGACCTCAAAGCTAACAGACATGGAATAAAAGCCAACAACTCCAATTGTGATTTCATGGGATCTTAGCTGCTTCTGAAAATGTGAAGACTAGAACACTCAGTGCAGCGCTGGGAGATTCACAGTTAATGTGAAGGTCAGGACGACCTGCTAGCTCTATTATCTCTCTTAGTAATCCACAGGAAAAGAGAGATTTTAATAGCATTCAGATTAAATGGCAAACATCCCAGATTACCCGGAACAATGGTGCACTAATGCCCAGCTGCACCGGGTTTGCAGCGTGATACATCCACTTGTTTATTGAAAGGGCTAATCTCTCCATAAGTCTAGTCCCCGTGAGAATCTGTTTACAAAAGGACGGATCTGTGCCTCTTTCATGCCATTCAAATCCTTTCAAGTGCTCAGTCATTACGTTCAGTAGCTTGCCTCTTAACATGTGGCTCTTGCTCCTACAAGAGAAGATGGAGAGGTAAAACTGCTGGGGCATGTTAAGCTATTGAGGCACTATAATACTTGCGATTCCTCAGAATTAGCCACACATTGTGGTCATGTGAGAAAGGGCTCCTGAGGAAGAAGATGGGAGGAAATTGCCACAGAATTTAAACACAGATGCAGGAAATGAATGGAAATACTTCAAGGAATAGTTCAGCCAAAAATGACAATCCTGTCATCATTTACTCACTCCTTTCAAACCTGTCTGACTTTCTCTTTTCTGTGGAATACGTTCATTGAAAAGATCCAACTTGCA